AAGATTAAGGGCATCAGTCTAACTCCATACTACAATAAACAAAAACATGGCCAAAACAAAAAAAAGTTTTCGAAATCACCAAAATAAAAGCCATAAATGCAATGTAACAGTGATCATAAGGACTGTGACCGAATTTTTTACAATAAACTACGTAAATAAATTATAACCCAAAAAACTAGAGCCATATTTTAGGCCACTGAATAGCAGTGGCAGCTAGGGGTGTACAACTCCTCTTGAGCAGTTTTGAGTGAAGTGAGAACAACCTAAAAGCACGTGAGAGAGGGGAGCTGGGAAAGGGCAAATCACCGAGAGGCACTGACGTGGCAACTGTGGGTCTTCAGTAGAGGCAATGACTGAGTGGCAGACAGTGGTGATGATGCGAAGCCTAGGCCTTGCAGACGGGGCGTGAAACGTGCAGAATGAATGAAGAAAGAGATGGTGATTTCTGGAGGCACGATTAGCTCAATCATTGGTCATGATGACCTCTTTATCTTCAGGTGAACTATGAAAGAGCAAGACTGAACCAGGAGAAGGGTTTCCATGTGGAATATGGCCCAAAGTGTCACGACTTTTACACACCCCGAGTCAAACCAGCAAACCCAACCAGACTAACCACTCTAACCACAAGGCCATAACCTGCAAATGAGTGCGTGTCAATAAACTACACTATTATTGTTATTATTATTCTTATTTCACCAGGAAAGGCAACCTGGTCACAAAAGAAAGCTCAACGAAATGGTTTATCACGTAGAAAGTTATGGCGGCCAAAGACTCTAAACTCGTGTTTTTAAATGTGGAGGGAAAAACTGGAGGACCTGGAGAAAAATCCACACGACCACGGGGAAAGAGAGATGCAAACGACAACTATACAACGTCGTGATTTTTTTTTCTATCTACGTGACTTTACCGAAAAACCCAAAGAGCACAAATATACAGGCGACAGGGTCGGGATCGAACCCACGACCTCCTGCAATAAATGTAACGGCATAATATTGGTTTAAAAAAAATGGTATTACTTAAGAGTTGAGCTACTCCTAACAAAACGGGTAACCGAGTGGTTACGGTCCGTTCTGGGCAGCGTGAGCCTGAAGTTAAGGCTTGGGGCAAAGCCGTTGTTTGAAGGAATACAGAAAGCCCGTTATTGTTTATTAGCCAACAGACACCCGCTGGGGGCCTGCTTCATGTCTGGCAGAACAATGCGTCCCAAGTGTGAACACCATTTTCACATCATCCCGTGGCATCTTTTACGTACAATCATTATTGACATTTTTATTATTTGCTGACATCACTGGGAATGGATGAACGCAATTTTCAATGATGATAATAACAATGACAATGGATATTTCGCTTTACCCATGAGAGTCTCACTGAGAGTCGAGGTTCTTTTCCGGGAGGGTCACACTGGGGATGGGAGCCTACTGTACACAACACTCGGCCATGAGGTGTCAGTGCCAGGTCTCTAATTTCCCCAAGTCAAGTCAAAGCGTCTCTACGCTCAAGTGAGCAACTCGGCAGTTTTCATCTCCATGGGCAGCCTTGAGTCTGGTTGTAAATTCCGCACCCCGTGACAGAGTCAAGACTATTCAGAGGATGTCAAATGTTCCACAACCTCATCTTTTAGTTTTCACCATGGTTGCTAAGCACAGGCTGCAAAATATCAAGCGGCCAGCAACAAACAGCACGACTGATTGTGTACCAGATGAGTTTATAGGTTTCTCGAATTGGTGAAGGTTGCGAGAGGTCAGGAAAGGAGACAACGGGGCAGGGGGATTTCACGTGGAGCGGTGCGAGGGGAAGCAGCAGAAAGAGAAACATCGTAACCTGGCAGCATGGAGGTTGAACACAAACTGATCGCAACCAATCGGTCGGGCAGCCCGAGTTCTCCACTGAGTGGAGGAACCGATGAGTGAAGTGTGTGGGAACAGGAACCATTGTAGTAGCAAGAGAAGAGTGATACGGAGGTGACCGACCATCTGTGAACGAGTGGCTGTAGTGAAACAGTGAGTGCTGGATCATCAATCGACCGGACTGCTTCACTCTGAAATCTATCGAGTGCAGTGAGGTGGAAACTGGATGCTCCACCCCAGATATTACAACTTATGTTGTGCATTGTAAGTTAAATTCATTGTTCAGAGTTATCAAGGGCTTTGGTACAGAAAATAAATCCAAGCTTCTTTGGTGCCTCCTTAAACAGATTCGTAACATAGGCAATTCCATGATGGGCCCAATGCAATTTTTGTGCAGAGCTGTGCCATGCAGACGAATGATTTTACGAAGAATAAGAATTACAAAATTAATATGGTACTGATTTTATTGATGCTGGGAGGATGATGGACTGAGTCACCCGCCCCCCCACCAGTATTTGAACTAATGACCTTCCAATTGTGAGTCAAGTGCTCTAAGTAACAGCACCATGTGACTGAATTGATTATAAAGAGGCTCCTAGTTAATAAATAACAACTGCTCTTTCCTTGCCTGTTTAAGTGTGTGCTTAGCTAGGAAGGATATCTCATTGACCACGCTGCCACGTGACAATAATTGGCTCGCAGAGAATGAATGGTGCGGTAATCAAATGAATGAATGATAAAACAATACACATGCAAGAAGAGGTTGCTTGTGGCATTTGGAATAGGCTCGGGGTTATCGTAGTTTTAACGACAGCACACACCACCATATGGTCAATATTAGAATTGCATTTTTATCGATTCCTTCCAATAATTCATGTGGGTTGTGCGCACCGTCCTTGACTCATTTCAGAAGGCAATTTGCCCCCCTTGGTAAAGCAGCAGGGCCTCCGGCCACGAGGTCACGAGTTACATTCGCGGTCGAGAGTTGACTCGGCTTACAATGAACCCTACAGGATTTGTAAAAACGAGCACCGCCATGCGGTGCTATCGCAACGTGTAAGACGTCAACTGTGGTCCTCCTGTCTATGAGAGACCGCTTACTGTCACAGGAATGTGGAAATTCTCTACATATAAGAACAAAAAGTGTCTCCAATTTTCCAAGGGGCAACTCATATCTGTTGTAAGCCCTGAGAGAGCCACGGGAATTCCATTATCCTCTGCCAGTGGAAAGTTGCTCGATAGCACGGCTTTGTTGGCTTCCCACAATGTGTTATTAATTTAATCAACCCCCGATGAGCAATGGGCTAAGTTAACCCCCCGAATGAGATTTAAAATAAATTTTCTAATTGCTTGTCGTTGGAACACTGTACTCTTTGGTTCTTTTGGTAAAGTCACGTAGGTAGAAAAATAAAATGAAAAATAATATATCACGACGTTTCGATCGCAACACAAGTGGTCGTCCTCAGGCGGGAAAAAATATCCAGCAGTGGAACACCTGAGCTCAATGTTTGACAGTTAGAACACTGTCAAACATTCTAAACTTTGGGGATTTGAGCGATGATTTTAACAAAAAGACCAACTCTTCTGAACTATGTTACGGGGGTCTTGAGTATCCACTTACTTTACAGCGGGGGGGGGGGGCACACTTTGGTAATTCACGACAAACATGGGCTCGGTTATCAAGCACGCTGACTATTCCGTTTCACCATCTGAACACTTATGCAATCCACACCAAGCGAGCAGGTGACACGAAGAAGTGTTAGTACCCACACCATATCCCAGGAGAAGGGATTGGCCGGCTCACAGCAGTGCATCTACAATATTGGTAAAAGCAATGGTAGATTGAAGTCGTTTCGAGCATCTCGTTCTGGTAACATGCTGCCAATTCCGACCGGTGCACGGGCAGCGGTGCGTAGACTTACACCAGTGCGTGAACACGTCACTCAATTACGGTAAACGGTCTGAGCCGTGGCCCGCCGTGCAGTCCAGAGGAATGGTCTCATCTCCCGATTGGGGGGGGCGGGGGGGTGAGTGTCCGTCGGTACAACGGGCCACGGCGCTGTGTACAGTGCGCATTAACGTGCTCAATGAGAAGAAATAAATCAGCGAGCGTGGCGACCGGCGGAGGAGAAACGACGAGCGATGCCAAGAAGACGCCGCCGACGACAGCGGCGAAAGCAAACAAGAGCCTGCAGCTTTGAATTCAAGACGTCTGGTTGGTAAAGCCACACGCATCGGCTGTTTTTTTTGTTTTACTGAAGTCAGCATCTAATTTAGATTTTTCATTCATTACTGCAAATTAACCGGCTGGGATGTGCGAGGACGGATTATGTGACTCACAAACCAAAGGGTTGCGCATTCAAGTCCCAGTTGGGGGAAAAACCAAAGACAAAGATTCCCCATATAGCCTTTGCAGACTGTTGGGGCAGGTGCGGGTAGTGAGCACCTCTGAAGGCCTGCACGGAGGGGTGAATGGCCAGCGCCACGCCCGGCCGCTTTTGTCTCCCAAGTGGCGATTTTTTTCACATCACACCAGGTATTGATTTGAAGCTGTGTCGACCTCGGGGAGTCCCAGGACCGGTTCAGATGATCGTCACTGGCGTTGGCCGTCAGCGGGAATCGGACTCGGTTTGCCGGGTTCGGAGCGCAGCGTAGCGCTAACCCGCTTCATTCCCGCTCCACACGAATCAGCCTACCACCATCATCATCTTCCCTTCAGAGTTGGCTAAACATGTACCGCCTTGGCAGCAAACAGCAGTGGGTTATCCGCTGAACTTACGCGCCTCTGTCAAACAAATGTGGAATTTCCACTGCTGGTTTAGGCCCACCACCAGAGTTAAGTGCCGTTCCACGTTCATTTTAAGCCTTTGATTTTTGTTGTTGTTGTTGCTTACAGACATCAACGCCCGACGAAATTTGGAACCGACGTGTATTTAACATTTGTCGACCGTGTCAGAGGCTATCGCGGATTTCTCCGCTCGCCCTCATTAAAGGCGCGATGCTAAAGAGCAGGAGGATTCCCTCCTGGGAGGGCGGCAGTCAGCGAGGGCGCGGGGAGAGGCGGGGAGGAGAGGCACAACATCCGCTGCTGCTGCTGCTGCCGCTGCTGCTGCGTGTGCGCGAGAGAGCAGGCAGAGCGAGCGAGCGAGGGAGGGAGGGAGAGCGCGAGCGAGTGTCCCACCGCGCGCGCGCACACACACACACGCTCACCCCGCTCGCTCGCACGCTCGCACTACGGGTTAGAAAGTAGCGGAGGATCACGACTCGCTCTGCTCTCACTCTCTAGCCCCCGTGGACTGGGGGCAGAGTGGCGGACCAGGGACGGCACGGGAGACAGATTGTGACCGTGAGATGGACCGCATGACGGGGGTTGTACGCGAGTCTGCACGTCAGACCTTGCCGGCGGCCGAATAAAAGATCGTCGGATGACGAGAGAAGCATCGACACGCCGGTGACTTAAACTGTGATCGCCTGCTAACGACGCCAGCTCAGGTGAGGTGGCTGCTGTTATTGTTTTACGTGTCGGAGAGCACCGACCACAATTGCTATCACGAATGAGCAGACGCAACTGTGCGCGTAAAATTAAACAATGAATGAGGTGATCGTGTTAATGTTGTGTTTCAACACACACACACATGTCCATAATCATAATAAATGCGTCTAGTTTGTGTATGGTGCGTATGGTAATTTAACAAGATCTATAGGATTAGGCTGGATACTGGGATAAAACAAGGCACTAAAACTAAAGGTGGAAGTTGCATATCTCGATATACATTAGAACAGCGGACGAGCACAGCAGCGGCGCATTGTGTGATGGCTTTCACAGGCAAACAAGCGATTAATTATCAACACAACAAGAAGGGATCGGGGAGCCCACGATACCCCATTGATGACGGTGGGACAAGCGAGCACTTTATGCATCTGTTTAACTTTGCATGGGCAATTCTAATTTCCTCGTGTCAGGAGGAGGCCCCGTGCATTATCTTGTGAATATGTATGAGGCGTTACACGAGGAACATGAGGAGCGGGATTAAATCTGCAAAGCTGCGACTGCCCCATAAATCTAACTTGCTCTGTAATCAGGGCGGGGAGGCGCTGGGCGGTTTGGGTGGAAGGAAAATCCATGGAGAGGCGAGGAAACCAATAACGTTCGAGTTGTTTAGCCCAAGCCGGTGCCGTAGCGCAAGGAGGAATGCTTCGGGACGGGGAAATCGGCGCTGCCTCGCCACGCGTGGCGAAAGCGCAGACGCAGGCGATGGCGGCGGCGGCGGCGAATGCGAGTTCGCCAAAAAATCTCGCCGGCGCGGAGAGATTTTACCGCCGTCACCGGCGACGGGATGATCCGGTGAAGGAGCGACGGAGGTGCTCGCGTCCCTTCGATCGCTGGCAGCGCCGCCCGGACAGCCCCCGCCCCGCCGCCAGTGACAAAAGAGTTCGACCTTGTGGCTTAGCGGCCCGCGGTTTACAAGTTCCAGAAACTTCAAACGAATTACGATTTAGTAAAAACCTGAAAGTGAGAAATCCAGTGACCCGTGATTCATTTGACTTCGGGAAGGGGAAGGGAATGTAAAAGGAGCTACGCGACTGTAACGGTTTTGAATCGCTGACCCGCCGAACGACCTGTGTGTTCACGTGCGTTGATCTGTGCGTCTCCCCGCGCGCTGTGGAGTGCGAGCAAGGTTGGGGTGCCTGCGAGTCGACACTGCACAGGAGGAGCCGCGTACCGGACGCGTGGAGGAGCGCAGCCACTCTCCAGAAGCTCACCGGACCGCGGTGGATTGATTAGCATATCTCTGAATGCCATCATTTTCGGCACGCTTGTACGACACGGCAGAGAGTGGAAACATGCAATAGCTACACAACTGGCAATGGAAGCAAAATGCTTAACAACTGCGTATCTACGTGAATCTACGTATATTTAAACTGTGTCTGAAACTGCAGAAAGAGACGAGTTGGATACACAAGGTGCAGCTGATGACCGTGCGTGTGCCTCTCAAAGTGATAACTCTTGCGCTGAACTGGGGGCACGTGACTTTCAACATTGAAAAGCTGCCAGAATCGTTTGACGAGGCGCGCCTCTGCCCAGTTCCCACGAGGCCCGAGCTGCAGAAGAGCCCCTTCAAAGAAGCAGAGGCTGGCTTGGTCAACTGTCTTCTGAGGCAAGTGGAATTAAAATTGACTGAAAATGAAACCCCCGGTAAGTGAAGAGGGAAATAATAACAACGATGTCAATAAAGGAAAGGAACAAATGAAAGCGCAATATGAAATAGGTTTGCTCGGAACGGATGGTTTATGACCTTGTACGCGCCGAGTGAATCACAGTCCGGTTTCACGACATGCAGCGATGTACCCTGACGTGCGTATGAGGCTCCGTGTAATGGATGTTGCTGCTGCTGTAGCTGGGTAGTTCGCTGTGAAACTCATGGAGAAGGCCCAGGGCCCACCTGAATGCAGCAATTCACTGCATTGACAAGGGACAAAACGAACAACAAACCAAAACCAAACCGGTGAAGCTTCAAATCAAGATCGATTAAATCAAGCAGAAAGTGCAAGCAAAAAAAGGAACTTAACGAGAGAAAAGTGGAAAATGACGATAATAAAAATAATCATAACGAAACCTATTTGAAAGAAAAGCACGCGCATGCCGAGAAAGTAGCAACGCTGCATAAAAACGGTCTCAACAGTGGCACAGCAGCCGGCCGGGAGCAACCCACGGCCGCTGTCGCCCCCCCGAGCGGGCAAGCGCGGACACCGCGCTGCCCGCCGCCACCGCCGGCTCAGACATTTTCAAAGCGGGACCCAAAGCGGCAGCGAGTGACATCGTCGCGCCAGCCGCTCGCAGCGAACGTAGGAGTAGCGGCGGTGGGGCCGGATCGCCGTGACCAAGCCGGGGGCGAGGAGCAGGTACCGACGGGAGCGCGCGGCCGGGATGGCGGAAACGCCGAGTCTCGGCGCCGGGGAGCCAGTAGTTGCCAACGCCTCGGGGCTCGCGAATATGTGCCGAGTCAGCGCCGGGTCAGCAGCTCGGAAAGCGCCACGTGAGTAGGCGGGCAAGCGGGGCTCCGCCGGGACGCACTCGGGGACGTGCCGTCACGTTCGGCGGCGACGTTGGGGGGCCACGAGCCCTCCGACGCTGCGCGCAGCAAGGAAGCGATTTCCCGTGCGAGCGTGCGCAGTAATGTGACCGCAGGAACAATCAACAGACACGCACACAGAAAACTAAATGACATTAAAAAAAGGCTTACTGTTGCGAAATGAGTATGGTGCAATCAGCCAGTGGTAGAAATTCCACAGTCTGGGCTCATAATCCCACAGGGCAACCAGAGTAGAAAAGAAAATCCACACAAGTCTCAAGAAACGGAGTTCACCTCTGTCGGCAACACTGAATCAGTAGCAGGAAGTGTGTATTCCTATGGCAGGGGCCAATAGGAATACAAAGACACACGCACATATTATTTGTGCAGCGCCTCTCCATTGAATGCACGTAAAAGCACTTAAATCTACGACAAACACAAACGTGCTGTTATTCGCAGGTTATAGATCCTGCCATGGGTGGGATCTAAAGAAATGTGTTAATTTTGCTTTCCAATTAAGTCCACCGTGAGACTTGTTTAATCTGTTATGCTGCCACTGCACCGAAATGTGCCAACTTAAGACAAATTCGGGAGGCGCAGTAATTAAGAACGCCTTGGAATGCAGTTTTTATATTTGTTTTACAAAACGAGAGATGTGTAAATTGCTTAGCGGCAGTTTAACAGATACTTGGCGTCTGTCCTGGCGTCTCATGCATGCCGACGGTTAATACGGTCACAGCGAGAGGGTGGAGTGTGGTGAGCTTGCGGCAGAGGAGGCTAGCGACAACGAGAAATTGCAGATAGGAGAATAGATATAGGTGGAAAGATAGCGACACAGGGAGATGGACGAGTGCGTCCAATAGTCGGCGATCGCCGCAGGCGAAGGAGGGAACCCGGCAAGGCACGAGTGGGTAGGAGGGAACGCGGAGTTATTCGTTTCGCAGCCAGACAACAACGCTTCACGCGCGTTACGTCGGTGAAAATGCAGAGGTGCGAGGCCGCCCGGCGCGACTTCGAGTGACAGACCAAATGGAAACGCTGCGGCCCGCACCGGCAAGCGGCATGAAGCTCAGCGAAACCCCGTCGGTGGCGAACTGCACCGAGAACGCGAATCCGACGTGCCGCCCAGATGACCCCGGCCAGGCGACGGCCGACTCGGACCACCCGCCGGACGCCTCGTGCAAAAAGGTGCCGACTGACGGGAGCTTCAAGCTCGAGGACTGGCTGTCAGAGGCGGGCCTGTCCGCCGCCAGCCACAAGAACAACAACAACGTGGAGATCCTGTCCACCGCCATGCACGTGCTGCAGAGGGCCGACGTGATGCTGCAAGGCCTCGCTCAGGCCGACGGGCGGGCGGGCGATGCGGAGCAGCGGCCCGCCGGTGGCGGGCGGCCCGACGGGGCGCACGAGCGGCCCCCGAGCGAGCCGCCGTGGGCCCCGTACAGGCGCGACGCGGACGGGCTGCCGTCGGCGCGCTCGCCCCGCGCGCCGCCGTGCAACCCCCTCGCCGTGCGGCTGTCGAGGCTCGGCGGGTACGACGGGAACGCCCAGCCGTGGAGGGGCGGCGTCGGGCAGCTGCCCCGGCCTCCGGCGGTGGCGGCGGAGTCCGAAAAGCGGCGCTCTGCGGATGGCGCGCCGACGCGGTGGGGCGCTCAGGCAGAACGCCCGGACTGTGGGCCACCGGCGGCCGTGGCGTGCGGCCGGCCCGCGAGGCCGGCTCTTCTCAAGCTCGACGGGAGGGAGGACGTGGAAAAGCGACGGCGCCGGAGGCAGCTCAAGGCCTTCCAGGTGCGCTTCAAAGACCTCTGCGATGACGCCGACGAGGGCGGCGGCGGCGGCGGATCGGCGGCCGCCAAGGACGGGGACGGCGGAGGCCGCGCGGTGCAGGCCGACGCCAGGCCCGAGATGGACGCCGAACCAAGGAGAACGCTCGTCAGCAAAGTGCCCACGTCACGCCGCTTCTTCCGGCCACTCCACTCGCGCTTGGGAGAGAGGACGCTGCACAGCTCGGCGACGCAGACGGCGGCGGCGGTGGTGGCGACGGCGCCACCCGGGGACGGTGCGGGGAGCGCACAACATGTGGCGGCACCAAACGCGTGCTGCCCGGGGAGCGCCCGTGGTGCTCGGTGCGGCCAGTGGCTTGACGACGGTCCGCAACCGGCACCAGCGGACGCGGAGTATCAGCCTTCGTCATCGAGCGCTAACGGGGAGTCACGTGCGGTGGCGAACGTGCTCAACGTCGCTGGAGCTGCGCACGTAAAAAATCACCAGCCGGTAGAGACAGCGTGCGGTGCGCGGTGGCTGCCGGCCACCACTTCTGCGATGGAACCAACTCAAAAGTTTAGCGGCGATGCACAAATGAACGGTGATTGGCGAACGTCGCCCATCGCGAGGACAACATCTCCTTGCCGCGATGGCTGCGTAAAGCCGAAGGACCGTTTGAACTCTTCGCAGACGAATGCGAGCAGCTCTCCAAGCACGGGCATCGGGGCGTCGGACACCAGAGCAAGCGACGTGACCGGCGTGCAACCTCAGGGGGGCGAGCGCGGAGGCCAAGAAACCTCAGCCGCGGCGGTCTCTCCACCAGCGTGCTCCGATGCTGAGGTCGGGAGAACAGACGAGGCCGTGGGACAGGGTGCTGGCTCTTCCTGCGCACGAGAGGAACCGGAGCCCCGTCGCGACACGCTCAACGGTGCGTCTCCGAATGGATCCGCGGCCGAGGAGAGGGAGCGCGCGGCGCGGCCGGGCGAGAGCCAGGCCTCGGCCGACAGGGAGGGACGAGGCGGCGCGAGTGACGCCGAGGCGCCGCCGAGAAACGACGCGCGGCGGGGAGAGGAAGCGAGCGGCGACGCCGGCGCCAAGGGAGACGCGGGCGGCCCGGAGAACGAGCGGAAGGACGAGTCGAGGACGGCGCCGGTGGCCGGCGAAGGGACGAGCGGGGGCGTTGGTGGCGGGAGTGGCAGTGGGGGCGGCAGTGGTGGCGGCGGAGAGTCGCAGGCCTCGCAGAACGAGGTGAACGCGCTGCGGGAGCGCCTGGCCGCCATGGAGGAGGTGCTGCGTGCGAGCCAGGACACCATCAAGCTGCTGCTCGAGGTCATACGGCAGCTGGAGCGGGCAGACGCCACGCGAAGGGGGTAAGGCGGCACGCACGGGGGGAAGGGGGAGGGGGGGCACGGGGCTCGCGCGTGCACACGGGACACGGGCGCGCGTGAACGGACGCACATGACAGAGATGAAGAATTTAAAAAGTTTGAATATACACGTGCGCCTCATTGAAAAAAGCTCAATTTTCAAAAAAATATTTGAAAAGGAAACATAATGGTTTGTCGCACACATTCTCCCTCCTCCCCATTGTATCAGCTGGCCAAGAAAATGTCTCGCTTGAAAAATGTACTTGCAGATGGTTACAAAGTAAAATCGGATGTTAACACTGAATAATTTCTCTAGATCCACGCATAAAACCCTCTGATCTTGCAACACTGTGAGCAAGGAAGAGGTGCCTCCGTACAGGAAGCAGTTTGCTAAATTATATATGTTACCTCCAGATGTAAAGAAAATCAGTCGGGGAAATGAAGCCACAAAATAATAATTAATCAACTTAGTCAACCCACCAAGGAGTCGACTGCGTTGTTTAGTGGAACGGTTGAAGGTGAGGGACGTAATTTGTTCTTGTTACAGTCTTCCGTACTCTATCATTTGCTTGTGTTATTTCTTTGGTTCAAGGGACCCTATTTCCCCAATCTGGCAACGCTGATCTGAATTGCACAAGCATGCAGGGCCCAAAGGGCACTTTGCACGCAGTTTAAAAATGCACACGTGGCTCTGTCGGCAAGGAGGCACCGGAGGGCACATCTTGCTTCACAGACCGTCAACTGCACACTCCTACGGAAGGAACCAGATCACCTACGGGGTTAGTGATAATGTTGACGCCCCAGCGCATAGCGCAGCCTCACTGAGTGGTGATTATGTTACCGAACTAAAGGGGTTTTAAGATGCACACGTGCTGTCTATTTATGTGCGCATACACAATGTTTGCAGTAATTGTGTAAACGTTGCCACTGCGTTACAAAAACACGGGTCTCGGTAGCTTGCATAGACTTATCGTGGCTCTGTTTTCAGGGCTGGAGTGCGGACTGCTGTATATGTGACGAACATGCGGGCGCGTTTCCCTTATTTTTCACGAGAGGCAGATGTTGCCACTTAAGAGCAGCGGATACATGAGAGAGAGGAGCGCTCAATCTCTCACTCTGTGAGTTTTTGTCATTCGATCGCTCGCTCACAACACTCTCTCATTCTCTGTAGTGCAGTCTGTGCTGCTCACCACTCAAGCTTACGAGTCATGTTCCTGCAACTCCTAAGTGACCGTCGTACACAAGTGTGAGAGTGTGCATATGAACGTGCACGTATGTACGTGTGGGTGTGTGTGGGGATCGGAAGTGGAGCAGTGATAGCCCGCTGCACTTCCAACCTGGCGACCCAAGTTCCGACGATTGTCTGAACCGGTCCTGAGCCTCACGTAGGTCGACTCAGCCTAAAATGAGTACTTGGTGCGGTGTATAAACATCACTCTGGGAGCCAAAGGCAGCCGGGCGTAGTGCTGGCCACCCACTCAATTGTGTGCGGTACCAGCCTTAATAGACGCTCGCGAACAGGACTTGCACCAACAAGTATGTTAAGCCTATCCCGGGGATCTTTGTTCTTGCATGTATTGTGCGTGGGTGGAAAAGTGGTGCAGCAGAGGCACGGACACCGTGCTCCCATCTCAATAATCCGAGTTTGATTTTGTGCCACGGGACAGCATCGTCAATGGCACACGATAATTGAACTTGTCTCGGGCCTTGCTCGGTTCAACCTGGGCCTCACACGGGCGCTTCGTGCAGACTGTGAACATCCGCATTGGAGAAACAATCGTGGCCGGCCTTGTGAGCTAATAACTACACCCCCACCCACCTGGTGCTACCACATTAACAGGTAGTTAATAAACACAGCATTACCCCAACAGCTACTTAACGAAGCGGGGACATTTGCTTTTCATGCATGTGGCTATCTGACTTAATGCAAGCCAACAGGACTCGCAACTATAGTCAGTGACATGAGCATGAGGGACTTGGCGTGGAGCTATGCATTCGTCCGTAAGTGCATGTGCAAGCGCGCGCACATGTCCGCGTATATACGTGCCTGTTCAAGCATATCTCTATGCACCAGGCAATGTTTAAACTCTTGATAAACTTGAAATGCATAAAACGTCAGAGCCTGCGATGTAGCGCACAACAGTGGAAGGAAACTGCCACCCAATCGATCGCCGCAACGCGACGCTCGCAATTATTGTCAGCAAAGTGCAATTTTCTCACAAACGGCAACGTGTGGCAAACGTGGCACCCACGCACACGCGCAGAGACGCACACAGTCACAGCCACAGGCACAGCCACAGGCACACACACAGCCACGGACACACACACAGCCGTGAACACACACACAGCCGTGAACATACGCACAAACTCTAAGCTCTGAAACGCCCTCATTGAAGCTCAATGTGATACAATCTAAGCAATGCGGATTTAACAAAAAATAATGCCGTCCCTTAATTCCATTCTCCGCTTCCCGTATCTTTTTTTAAGCAGCCAATCAAATAAAACATTTGAAGGAGTTTTTGATGAGACAAAGCAAGGTAATCTTGTAAACTAATCATCTGCAAGCGCTGCACATGCAAATTCTAACCAGCAGTACTAAGCAGACTGATACGTTGCTGTGAGAGGTCTGTTTCCCTATTGTCGGAAGAGGCAAAGGAGGATTAAATACAATCTGAGTCAATGGAATTTAGGAAAATTTGAGGAATCTTCGTTTTTGCGGAGTAAAAAAAAAAGACACTCTCCCCACTGAGAAAGACCCCTGGGAAATGGTCATCGCCCCACCCTGCAGCCCTGACCATACCCCTGGTCACCCTTTGCCCAATAGCGGTGGTTCATCCTCCGTCTCTGATGCCACCGCATCTGGGACCCCCTTACCCTCGCTGACTGCGCTAAAGACTTCGTCCCGCTTCCGATGTCCAACCTCAAGCCTTCATCTTCTCCTCCGCCACATGACCGCCTTCCTAAAAACCTTCGACGCCACCAATACTGCACCACAGCCGTCACCTCCTCGGTCACAAATCCCCACCTCAGTTTCCTTCTCATCCCTTCTCCCGTCCGTGTCGCCCGCACGTCCCTCCTTTGGCCATTTCCACGCCACGCGTCACATTTTAGACGCACCGCGTCTTGGTGCCATCCCTGAGACGCTTTACACATCCAAAACGGAATTTTGATTTTGCATTCCTACAGCGAACACCGAGGCTCTGCGTGGGAGGACCACCGTTGAATCTCAAAAGAGAGGTACACATTTTACTGGCCATTGAGGGGGGGGGAGGTGGGGATGGATGGGCTCACAGCCGCCACCGGATGGCGAGCCGAACGCTAGGAGCACAGCGCCCCCACGGCCGGTTGCGTGTGGAGCGACCGCATGGCACGAGCATTAACATCCCAGTCACGGCCCCCTCCTGCTATCGAGGCCAATAAGTAATCTGACTGCGCGCAAAAAAAAAGAACACACAAAATCTTTACATGACACGCACACGAAAAAAATATCACAACATTAATTTCCTTCTGACGTGAAACGAGCCAGTTAATTTATATATACACACACACTCTCACAGGACATGATAAAGCATTTCAATTTGAGCATACGGCGATTTTTCATTTATTCCTTTCGTCATTCATTAAATAAATGGATGCCGCACGCCTGAAATTTTACCGCGGCAAGGTTGGGGTTGGAAGGTCTCCGCAGACCCAGCTGAGATGTAATCATGCCGGACTACGTGGGTTCACGTATGGAAGCTTAGTGGCCCAGTGGCTAGCTGTGCAAGTGGCTAACCACTGGGGAAGGTTTGCACCACGTCAAAGGTTACATCCTATGATTGATACATGACACTGCAGCTAATGCAAAGTGGGCATTCGAGTACCTAGTAGATAACTCGCGAGAGTAGGCTATCGTGTTCCCGTGTTGTAGCTTACAGTTTGGAATTTTAAAGATATCCACGATGGCATCGCAAACAAAAAATTTCATGAGAGTTGTTGTTTATTTACCCAGGTAGCTTACGCAGAATTCAGCAATTAATTTTTACATAACATTGAATGCAAGATTTCATGCAAGGAAAATTACAAAACATGTGTGTGTGGTGCATTGGTAATGTAGTGGCTAGTACACTGCGCAACAAACCCCAGTGACCCGAGTTCGATTACCGCTCATGGACAATAACAGTGGCAGATATTTAAACCAGTCCTGGACCTCCCCTCGATCGACTCAGGCTTAATCATGTACATGGTGTGGTATGTAAACATCAGCACTGGGGAAACAAAGGCGGCCGAACATCGTGCTGACTACACCACCCCTCCATGCGCCATGCAGGCCTTCATAGGTGCTCGCTAACGTCACTTGGCCCCACAGCCTGTGTAGGCTTCAGTGTGTGGATGCATGTGTGCATACAGCCATCACAAAGGTGTGCTTGATAAAGCTTAATGTGGGGAAACTCGCTGCATTATTAAGCAGTGGTCACAGCTTGAGTTGATATTATCCATCTTCACAAAGGACTGCCACAGCTGCTCGCATTAAGGCCTACGATAACAAATCTACACGAGCAGCAATGCCTGGCACGATGATATCACGAGTTCAATCATTCAAAATGCACATTCTTTACGCAGGACGGCCCCAATGAGTTCTCAAGACTCTTAATCGGGAGGGTCCAGCATGGGGTGTTTCACTGCTTCTGGGCCAGGTGGAATCTCTGACGGTGAGAGCACTTGACTCAACTACCAGAGGTTCGTGAGTTAAAATCAGTGGTCGACTCAGGCCACCATTCATTTGGAACACATGGCACGAGTGCCCTCTTCACCCTAGGAATGTTGAATTATCCACCACTGGTACGGAGCTGCCAACGGAGATGGGCATTGCCCCGTGCTCGTTTGATCAGCGAGCCACTTTGGCTTTGACTCTTTTTACACGAATGAATGTTTCAGCAGGTCTGAGGAAACACCAACACCTTTAGAAAAAGCCCACACGTGAGCAGATAACACTCAGTACCGACAGGACAGCAACCTACATCC